AGTCTCACGGTCTCTCCTGCCCGGGCTGGCTTTGAACTGCGATCCTCAGATCTCAGCCTCCTGAGTAGCTAGGATTACAGGTGTGAGCCACCAGCGCCCGGCGGCACTTTTTTTTCCAATTTAAAATATCTTATTTAAGACATTGCATCTTCCAATTATATGGTGCTTAAAAGTACATTATTTTCCTATGCACAACTTTATTATATTCAAGTATTGAGGATATCCAGAAATTTACAATAACAGCTCAAATTTAAAACTGCTGTAGGATTCACAAATTTTGTTTTTTTTTCATAGTTAAGATATTGAACAATGCCACATTCATTATATATATTATATAATTATTGTATATTATATATATTTCATTACTAAAAAGAAAAAAAAAGCATATGATGTCATAGGCATAGCAAAGTAACCATTATCTATGCCCAAGTGGTCCCAAGAGTGCTTAACCAAATTTTTTTTCAAGTGCCAAGCTTCGAGGCTGGGAATGTGGCACAGTGGTAGAGTGCCTGCCTAGCATGCATGAAGCCTGGAGTTCGATTCCTCAGTACCACATGAACAGAAAAATCTGGAAGTCACTCTGTGGCTCTCTGGCAAAAAGAAAACCAAACCAACCAACCAAGTGCCAGGCTTTGGATTTGTAGTAGTGATTAGCAGATGGCTCGTGTAGGCTCTCTTCTTTCACAAATGAGGAACTATGGACAGAAGTGTCAACTTTTTCTGCCAGGCACTCATATCTCACGTATGTTAGCTACTCAGGAGGCTGAGATATGATTTTAAGCCAACCCAAGCACAAAATCTATGAGACTCTTATCTCCAATTAACCAGCCAAAAGCCAAAAGTGGAGTTATGGCTCAAGTAGTAGAATGCTAACTTTAATAGAAAAAAGCCAGTGAGAGCATGAAGCCCTGAGTTTGAGCCCAGTACCTGTACAAAAGGAGAGAGAGAGAGGGAGAGAGAAAGAGAGAGGTGAGATTCTTTAAAAAGCAGTTGACATTGGATGAGAGAGCCCTAATAAACCTCCTAGCGCTCCCTGAACTTTGTTTAAAATATGGTTGTTCCATGCTTGCTACTGATAGCCTCTCTAATACCTAATTTTATGGCATATCCAGAAAATCCATCTCTCCTAGGTACACCTCACAACCTTGTATATGAGAAGCTAAAATAACATAGGCCCCATGATTACACCTAGTTACTCAGAAAGCTGGTATCCAGAGGACTTAAGTTTAGTTTGAAACCAGCATAGGCAGAAAATAATTAGCAAAAAAGTAGAACCAGCAGCATAGTTTGAGTGGTGGAGCAAGCAAGCCCTACAAGCATGAGGCCCTGAGTTCACACTCTGATACAAACACAATAAAGGTAAGTTCATATTTAGTTTAGCTATGTATCCTAAACATTTGTGTTTGTCATGGTGTGATATGGAAGTCTAACTTATGTCTAAAGTTTAAAAGAAATGAGAGCTGGGCGCCAGTGGCTCACGCCTGTAATCCTAGCTACTCAGGAGGCTGAGATTTGAGGAACAAAGATCTGAGGTTCAAAGCCAGCTTGGACAGGAAGGCCTATGAGACTCTTCTCTCCAATAAACCATTCAGAAAACTGGAAATGGAGCAGTGGCTCAAGTGGTAGAGCGCTAGCCTTGAGCTGAAGAGCTGAAGGACAGCACCCAGGCCCAGAGTTCAAGCCTCACAACCAACCAAAAAAAAAAAAAATGAGAGTTAACAGAAGAGTATAGGCTGTAATCAGATACCTAGGCATACACCTAGGTACTGGGAGGAGTTTTTCAAGTTGGAGGTATAGATTCAGGTCGAAGCCAGTCACCTTGGGGGAATCTTTCTTTTGCTGCTTCAAAGAAGCCAAAGCCTCTAAGCACTGGTGACTAAAAGTTCTAATCCTAGTTACTCAGGAGGCTAAAATCTAAGGACTGAGGTTTGAAGCCAACCTGACAGAAAAATTTGTAAGACTTTTATCCCCAAATAACCACCAAAAAGCTGTGGAGCTGTGGCTCAAGTGGTAGTGGGTCAGCCTTGAGGGGGCATGCTAAATTTCAAGCCTCAGTACTGGCATGCACATGCACGTGTGCACAAACAGACACACAGACACATAGACACACACACACACACACACACACACACACACACACACACACACATACACACACACACAGAGCTTCTATATTCCATATAAGCTAAGCAGTAAGGTTCTGGGTCTCTGGTCTCAGTCTTCTCTGGAACTCTCCACAAAGTTCTAATGGCCTCTCAGCAGATTTTAAGAGTCTGTTCCAAGCAAGTAATCAAAGAAAAGTGAGTTAGGACAAGGAAGGAGACAAAAAATGGGGAGAGACTGTAAAGAAGAACAATCTTGACTCCCACCTTTAATAGATTTGTTTTGTGCAAGAGGCAGCAGGGGTACTTGGGCTCGGCCGAGGTAGGAGCCTGGGTCTGAGTCTTCATCATCAAAAATGTATACAGCCAGGGTCTCCCTCCTCAGATACTGATCCAGGTCAGAGGTCATAAGCACTGGGAATCGAGCCTGATCTCTAAAGTAGGGATCCTTACAGGCAGGAATAATGGCAGTGTCATGATCAGAAAAAGTGAAAAAGCGGTACATGGCATACGGACTTGGCTGAGCTCCCAGCTGCCGACTCTGGAGACCAGAGCACTTGGTGATTTCAATCTGTAGCTCATTCCGAGGTTTCCAAGGTTTTGATCTGGACTGGAAAGATGATGGTCTTGAATTAAGGAAAGGGGCAATGTGAAAGGATTCAGAGATGGGGAACCTTTTTTCTATCAAGGACATTTTGGTATTTATTACATCAGCTCAGGCTGTAAAAAGTTATCAATACAGGGGCTAGGAAGGTGGGTCAGAGGTAGATGCTTGCCTTGCATGCATGAGGCCCTGGGTTCAAGTCCTGAGCACCACATAAGCAGAAAAAGCTGGAAGTGGTGCTGTGGCTCAAGTGGTAGGGCGCTAGTCTTGAGCTGAAGAGCTGAGGGACAGCGCCCAGACCCAGAGTTCAGGCCCCATGACCGGCAAAAAAAAAATAGATGAAGAAGTGGGGCCTGCTGGAGGGTGATTTGGGTCATTGGGGGTGCTGCCTCACAGGGATAAATATTGGGCTAGGACAGTGTGTTGTTATAAAAGCCTGGCGGCCAGGTGCTGGTGGCTTACATCTGGAATCCTAGCTACTCAGAAGGCAGAGATCTGACCATTATGGTTTAAAGCCAGCCTGGGCAGGAAAGTCCAGGAGACTAATCTCCAATAAACTACCAGGAAACTGGAAGTGGCGCCAAGTGGTAGTGTGCTAGCCTTGAGCACAAGAGCTCAGGGACAGTGCCTATACTCGTCCCTGAGCACAAGCCCCAGGACTGCTTCCCCTGCAGAATATAGGAAGATGGCCACAGGCAGCCCATGAGAAACATACACATCTGTCCCATCAGAAACTAAATGACTTTGTGAGTCTTATATGGCCAAAAGTTCCCCATCCCAGACAGGTAAAATCCAGCCCCACTTGGTGAGAATGTACTAGGACCTCGAATCAGCTGTACTAAAGGGTAAGAAAAACCTAATGACCTTCACCTTCCTGGTCACTGGCCTGACAACTTGTTTGAAAGAGATGCTAATACTCAGGCCTTGTCTCAGAGAATGACTGAGAGAAGCTGCTCTTCTCTTGGTAAGAGGAAGTAGCTAGCTCCAGGGCATGGTTTCATTTCAGACCAAGAAAAGAATCTGGACTGGTTTGGGTGTGGTGGGTTTTTCTCCTTGATTCACATTCAACAATCCTTGAGAGTAGAAGTCTGAGTTGTTCTCAGCGGTCAGGCTGTGGCTGCTTTGAGACTTCTGTGCGCATCCATTTCCTCACCTCCTCCTTCTGGGCCTTCCAGGCTCCAGACACACTGGCTGACAGGTAGGTCTGAGCTTGCTTTCCTTTACTGTAAACCTGTAGGCCGGATCTAAGGGGCAAGCGCAGCCTCATCCAGTAGTCTAATACCCCGAAGTCTTCTCCATCAGCTCCTGGGTTGCAGAAAATACGAAGGCATGGAGATTGTGGATGAGGGGTGGCGAGAATAAAGCAGAGGATGCAGATGGGCAAGCACTGGAAGAGCAACTACAAACTATGGGAAAGTATGCATTAGTCCTAGGAACTGCAGGAAGCCAACAACAACACTTACCAGTAAGCATGGTTGAGTCATGGACTTTCTCCACCGTCCCTAGCACCTGGTCAAAGTGAATCCACCCAGTTGCAAGGGTGTGGTGCTCACAGGCCAGGACCTGGTGAAGATCCAGTCGAGCAGAAGCTCTTTGAAAGTAGTGTACAAAAAGTGGACCTGTCTCAACCACATACTGGGAGGTGAAATCATAAAGGGGCTGTGGCCCCACAGATAGTGGAGTACAGTGGGTTTCAAAATCATAGAAGGAATAAGTGCAGAAAGTGGTAGGATGGGGGTCTCCAGCCTGTGCCAGGGCAGCAGAGGTCAGGAAGGCCTGGTGAATGTGTAGTTCAAGGAGATTCTCACTCTGACGCAGCAGAGAAATGTCCACTTCATCCTCATCCTCTTGGGCTGCCAGTGTCTCCGGACATGACAACTGTCGGGTGCTATAAGCAACATCTTTGAGCTGTTCTAAAGGGGAAAGAAAACTGCCTATCCATTAAAGGGCAAGGAACTCTTCCTAGGGTAGAAGAGGGCATACAGATGGAGAATAAGATCATAGTCGAAGTCCTAGTTGAGATTATTTCAAGAAACTCAAGACTCAGATAAAAAAGGCAATAGGATGACAAGACTACAAATTCTTCTGTTTTGTACCGGACCTGGGGCTTGAACTTAGGCCTTTTGGCTCTCACTTGGTTTTTTCACTCAAGGATGGCACTCTACTACTTGAGCCATACTTCCACTTCTGGCTTTTTACTGGTTAATTGGATATACCAATCTCTCTCACGTTTATCTACCTACTCGGACTTTAAATCATTATCCTAAGGTCTCAGGCTCCTAAGTAGCTAGAGATTACAGATGTGAGCCACCAATGCCTGTCTTCAGATGCTTTGAATTCTGATATATATAATTCAGTGTGTGCTTCAAAGAGCAGAAACAAAGGGGCTGGGAGAAAAAAAGCAAAACACCGAACTCAGGAAACATATTTATTTCATCTGAGATGTTTTGGCTTACCGTAAGGTCCTGTGAATTAACAAATGATTCCCTTAAAAACAAAAACAAAAACCTACACACAAAATGTATTCCCATTGGTTTGGTTTGAATAGTATACCAATCGCTAGAGAGAGCAGTAAATGACAGGGTGAAAGTAATTATGATACCACTGTGGGACAAGGCCCAGAAATGTTTCTCCTCTCCAGCCAGATGCCCTTACAACAGATTATGTCCTGCTTCAGAAATTGTTTTCATTTTAAGATGTTAAAAAATGGGCTGGGGGGCTGGGAAGTTGGCTCAGTGGTAGGGCGCTTGCCTTGCATGCCTGAGGCCCTGGGTTCGATTCCTCAGCACCACATAAGCAAAAAGAAAAAAGCTAGAAGTGGCACTGTGGCTCAAGTGGTAGAGCGCTAGCCTTGAGCTGAAGAGCTGAGGGACAGCGCCCAGGCCCAGAGTTCAGGCCCCACGACTGGACCCCAAAAAAAAAAAAGGTGTTAAAAAATAACAGAATAGAGGCTGGGAAGGTCTCAGTGGTATAGCGCTTGACTTGCATGCATGAGGCCGTAGGTTCAATTCCTCAGCACCACATAAGCAGAAAAAAGCCAGAAAGGGCTCAAGTGGTAGAGCACTAGCCTTGAGCTGAAGAGCTGAGGAACAGTGCCCAGGCCCAGAGTTCAGGTCTCAAGACTGACAAAAAACAAACAAACAAAGAAAGAAAAAAAACAGAATAGGTACTGGGAATGTGGCTTAGCAGTAGAGTATTTGCTTAGCATGCATGAAACCCTGGGTTCGATTCCTCAGCATCACATTAACAGAAAAAGCCAGAAGAGATGCTGTGGCTCAAATGGTAGAGTGATACCTTGAGCAAAAGAAGTTCAGGGACAGTGCTCAGGCCCTGAGTTCAAGCCCCAGGACTGTCAAAAATAAATAAATACCAGAATAAAAAGTGACAGAAGAGACTTTCTGGATAGAATGGAAATATTGGCAGTGGGATGCAATGATATGTAAACAATACTGAACTTGGACATTACTTCTCATGCTCAATCAATCAAAAACTTTGAAATGTAGTCTACCTATTACTGGTGAGTATTAGAGTTATCATGAAGAGTTAAATAAGCAAGAAAATGTCAGGCATGAAATCCTAACTATTCAGTAGACTGAAACCTGAGGATCACAGTTCAAAGCCAACCTGGGCAGAAAAGCCTGTTAAGATTTCTATTTCTAAAAGAAAAAAAAGATTTATATTTCTGATTAACCACAAAAAAGCCAGAAGTAGAACTGTGGCTCAAGTGGTAGAGTGCTAGCCTTGAACAAAAAGCTATTCAGTATTCAGGCCCTAAGTTCAAGCCCCAGTACCTCCACAAACAAAAACTCAGCAGGAGGCTGAGATCTGAGGATCATAGTTCCAAGCCAAGATGAGAGAGAAAAAAATCCCCAAGACTCTTATCTCCAATTAACCAGCAAAAGACTAAAAGTGGAGTTGTGTCCTAAGTGGAAGAGGGCCAGCTTTAAGTGGAAAAAACTAAGTCCCACTACCAACACACACACACACACACACACATACACACACACACACACACACACACACACACACACACACAATCAGAATGGAAGAACTGGTTTTAAAAAAACCCCAACTCAAATAGATGCAGAAATTGATTAATGTTTAAATGCCTTCTTAATTGATGAGATTAATATAGCTTTAAATTTTTATCTTACATGGCCCAGTCTAATAGTCTTAGCATTAAAGAACTACTAATATATGAAGTATTATTAAGAGCCAGGGTGCTGGTGACTCACACCTGTAATCCTAGCTATTCAGGAGGCTGAGATATTAGAATCCCAATTCCAAGCCAGCCCAGGCAGGAAAGTCCCTGAGAGTTTATCTCCAATAAACTACTCAGAAAAAGATAGAAGTAGTGCTGTGGCTCAAATGGTAGAGTGCTATCCTTGAGCAAAAGAAGTTCAGAGATGGTGCCTCGGCCCTGAATTTAAGCCCCAGGACTGGCACAGAAAAGCCAGATATGAGTGGCTCATACCTGTAAATAGTTACTCAGGAGACTGAAATCTGAGGATGATGGTTTGAAGCCAGTCTGGACAAGAAAGTATATAAGAATTCTTATTTATTTATTTATTTATTGTTGGTCATGGGGATTGAACTCTGGGCCTGGGCACTGTCCCTCAGCTCTTTAGCACAAGGCAAGTGCTCTACCACTTGAACCACAGCACCCCTTTTTCCTGGTGATTAATTGGAGATAAGAGTCTCACTGGATTTTCCTGCCTGGGCTGGCTTTGAACCGCGATCCTCAGATCTCAGCCTCCTGAGTAGCTAGGTTATAGGCGTGAGCCTCGGAAGCCTGGCAAGACTCTTCTTTCTTTCTTTCTTTTTTGGTCAGTCATGAGGCTTGAACTGTGGGCCTGGGCGCTGTCCCTCAGCTCTTCAGCTCAAAGCTAGTGCTCTACCACTAGAGCCACTGTGCCACTTCTGGCTTTTTCTGTTTGTGTGGTGCTGAGGACTTGAACCCAGGGCCTCATGCATACAAGGCAAGCACTCTACCACTGAGTCACCTTCCCAGCCCCAAGACTCTTATTTCTAATTACCAAAAAGCTAGAAGTGGAGGTTTTGCTAATGTGTCAGCTGTAAACAAAAAAGTTAAAGGATTGTGGCTAGGCCTGAGTTCAAATCTCAGTACTGGCACACAAAAACAAAGAAAACAGAGGTGGTCAGGGGCTGGTGGCTCATGTCTATAATCCTAACTATTCAGGAGTCTGAGATATGTGGATCAAAGTTCAAAGCCAGCCTGGGCAGAAAAATCTGAGAGACTCTTATTTGCAACTAACTGGCAAAAAGTGTGAAGTAGGGGCTGGGATGGTGACTCAGGGGCAGAGTACTTGCCCCGAATGCCTGAGGCCCTGGATTTGATTCCTCAGCATCACATAAGTAGAAAAAGCCGGAGGTGGCGCTGTGGCTCTAGTGGTAGAGTGCTAGCTTTGAAGTGAAGAGCTGAGGGACAGGGCCCAGACCCAGAGTTCTGGCCCCACAACTGACAAAAAAAAAGTCTGAAGTAGAGGTGTGACTCAAGTGGTTGAGTAAAAAAGCCAAGCAAAAGGGTGACGCCCTGAGTTCCAACCCCACACTGGCACAAAAAAAAAAAAAAAAACAAGGAAACAACAATGACAAAAAAAAAACCCCACAGATACCAGGACAGAGAGCAGTAGGTTATATCACACTAAGGCTGTACGTGGCAGCTTTCTAGACAGGCTTACAGAAGGGAAACCAATCTGTGACATGCCCAAGATGAGAATAAATTGTTAAAACTTGCCAGATGATGGAAGGCCATGGCTTCTTAAAATACCTTCCAGCTGCTTGATACGGTCATTCTTGAAATCTAGGAGTTGACTCAACCTCTCCAGTTTTTCTTTATGATCTCTATTTTCATTATCAGCTTTAGCCATCATTGCTTCCAGCTCCTCCTATAACAGGAAAAAAAAACCAATAAAACAACAACAACAAAAAAACATAACTTCTCAGTGAGAACCACTTGCTAGGTAAAGAAGGCTCTGCTACCACCTCATCAGGACTCACTTATAACCTTAGAAAAAGGCCAGGAATTGGGACTGGGAAGGTGGCTC